GGTACGCATATATTTGCAAATATATGCGTACCGTAATCTCCCGTACCGGCTTGAATATAGACACCCCCAAGATTATGTATTTAGTCTCCCAAACGGTTAAAAAAAAAATCCCACATATGCTTACCTGGCTATTGCAAACCTCGGAAGACCCTTTAAAGCCTGTATTACGAGATTTTTGCTCAGAAACACTCGATCCGAAGAAAATACTGTTGCCTGACAGCGGAAATATCACCGATTACACCAACATTAAAAACACTAAGATTTTATGCAGTTATACTAGCATAGAAAAATGGATTTGACCACATCATACCGGCTTGGGATATTATCGTGTCCGGAGAAACGAAATACAAATGGTGCCTTCAAAACAAGTGCATATAATTAAAACAAAAGGGCGTGCAATTCTGTGTGGTAAATATTATTGACTTCAATTATGTCAATAATTCAGAGCACTTTCTGTCATTGTCATTCCCGTGTTACTATCTGACTGGTAATCCACAAGCTTCTCTATTAACAGACTACGCGGCATTAGTACTACACTCCTGTTACGATATCCCAGAATATACTGCGTGCCACCCCAGCATGTGAATCAGAAATGCTGTTTCAGCTGTTTTCGCAAAAGGATAGGCCAGCCTGGTCGCACCTGAGCTGTGATGCGGGCATCACAGCCACTGGGAGAGCAGATTACAAAAAAAAGAAGAAGAAAAAACCACTGTTTTGAACCGCTGTTGCTACACGCGTTTGTGTACATAGTCTAGAGACTACGCGTTAATCGGAGCTTGAAACAATTAAAATTGTGAACATTGAAATTTTTTTTTTTTATTCCAGGAACCGTTTACTAGTTCATACTGTAATTATTAACCAACTCTAGGCTATGACAACGGCTAAAAGTTTAGGTCCCAACCCTTTGCTGTTTCTGAGAAATGTGGAAAAAAACCACATTTATTGCATATAAATTAACAAGTTTTGCTATCACGTAATTGGCGATGAAGTTTCTGCGATTATTTTCACGGTGAGCGTAGTGAGACATCTGTTTTATTAAGTAGATGTGAGTTTGATTGGATTTGATGAGCAGTTATGTTGTAATGCCCTTTACAGTGGTACCTGTCCATAACCTTGACTGTAATGCAGATATCTTTCTATTTGAATGAATGAATGTGGATTAAAATATATGATATACTTCTGCGTTACAGTGCACGAATATGTACTGTACATGTATATCGAGTAATTGGGTAGAAAAAAGTGATATATAATACATATATTTGATTATTACAAGCAATATAAAATGTGATTTTCTATGCTACTGATAATGTGGCTCACAGATATAAACAGGAGTCTATCAATAATAATAATAATAATAATAATAAAGACAGGAGATTTTCACCAACTAGATTCATTTCCTGCCACCATCTCTTAGAGTAGTTTCAACTTTTTTTGTCACTAATAGCACTACTAGCCTAGTCATTAGTGTTACTGGTTTAACGGTGCTTCAGTTTACCCCCCAGTGTCCCATTTTCTCACTCGCCCAAAAAAAATTCTTTGGTTAGTTGTGAAATGCAATGGCATTGTTTCTCTTAGTGACTTGTAACAGAGTTTGGCTAAACTTATTTCACTTATGCATTAGTGGTAATAAGAGACATACTGTATAATTTTTATGAAAGGGAAAAGCAAAGGTAGCCATCCTTCAAAATTATAATTAAAAGTGCAGCTAGGGTGCTGATAGCCTGATACAGATGGTGACACACCGATTTAATCTGTTGTAACGACTACGTCTTGGTTTGACGGAACATTATTTATCCCTCACGTATTGCATTTGTATCTTCGTATATACTACACATTATGTTGTGAAAACAAAACATCTAAAGCATTATGGATGGTGCAGTGATGCATCAAATGAAGGTTATCATAGATAATGATACAGATCATCATCAAATAAATTCAATCACCATCGTTTATTTGGGGAAAAAAACGTGTTGAGCTGTACATCATGAAGGCTGTGACGGGACTAGATAGGAGCTGCCAAAGGGAAGACCAAAGAAATGTCACGTTGTACTCGCACAGTTTCCAAGTATCTAGTGTAAATACATAGGCTATATATATATATCAGGAGTAGATAATAGGGAGGAGTGTGACATCAATAAACAAGGAAATTCGTCATTTACCTAGCCTTATAATACCTACGATTTACTACGCGTAACTCATCCAACTTGAGCTCAATCGGACACAGTAATTCGCCTATCATCATGGCGAAATCGTATTCCTCGTAGACACCCAGCAATCCGGAGATTAGCCAGCCTAAAACGTACGACACATTCTCCATTCTTTGGCATCAATCCAACGCCATTGCAGCGCCTGTAATTCAGACAAAAGG